ATTAGGGAAAACATAGATATATGGAAGTAGAAAGTGCTATTTTAGCATTGATTTTCATCATGAAAGGGCATCTTAAAATCTTCCATAGCTTGCATTGTCATCTTGATATTTTCTTCTGTGTCATTATTGTCCACTTATTTTAGATGATATAAACAAATGCACTTCTTTTGAATGTTATCACTTTAATCCCTCTTCACCTTGAGTTCACTGCAGGAAATTATATTTTTTTCCTGTTGAAGAAAATGCAAAATGATGACAGTGTTTTGATAGCACAATCAGTTTATTTATTTAGTTAGTTTTATTAGTGGTACAGTCTCTTGATTTCCAGGCTAAGCATAGTATAATGTATATTTTAAAATACCAGTTCATTGCACCTTGACTTATTAAAGAACTTTACTGAAAGAACCCTTGAATCTTTTTCTTCAATGGCTCATCAACCTTGTAGACTGTTCTGGTTCTTTGCCTTCAGAGGAGTTATTTTATATTTGGTCGATTTGAAACTGCATTTTGATTTTATTGATCTAGCCAGTGACTATACAACTTACAGACCCCTATCACTGTGCTGTGATACTGAACATTATGCTTTCTTTCCAGCAAATAAAGCCAGTAAAAATTTATGTACCTTTAAGGCAAATAGGAATCTTGCATTGGCGGTGTGCACTTAAAACACAAGAATAGTGAAAGTTTTCCCATTCAATTTCTTTTCCTGAGCTTTCTTAATGCAGTCTCATGTAATCTGTCTCTGTCACTCATAGTTTCTTATTTTGCTTTGTGATGATCCCCCTGGATGGGGAGATTCAGAAAGAGGAAAAATAGAACAAAGGTGGGATGAATTTACCTTTTGAAATGCCTGGAAGAATGTACTGGAGGATGGTAAAGGGAACCAGAGCCCTCACTGTATGATGCCAGGTTGATAGGTGGGAGAACAGGGCTACTATTCAGAAGAATCCCAGCAGTCTGGTCAAAATGACCAACAGCTGAGGCAGGATAATCCCAAATACCAGTGTAGGCTGGGGCAGCCTTTTGGAAGAGGAGTGTGGGTCCTGCTGGACAGCAGAGCAGTGTCCCTGGTGGCCATGGGGGCCACCACACACTGGCAGCTGTTAAAGGCTCATGAGGCTTCAGCTGAAGTCTTGTGCCTGTGGGTGCTCCAAATGAACTGGAGATGTGTTCCAGATGGCTGTGTAAACTGTGCTTTAATGCAGCAGTGTGGGGGTGAGCAAAACCTGCTGTGTGTGCAGAACGGCACCTGCTGGGGTGTGGCCCTAAACCGCAGGAATCCTCAGTGGTCATTGCTGGAGAGTGACGGAGCAGGCAAGACAGCAACCTAGGAAAGTTGAGTAGAGAGGGTAAGTTCTAGATGTTCTGGTGTCTGAAGCACATTTTTATGAACTACATCTGACTCCTACAGCTCACAGATGCAAGGGGTGATGCAATCAGGAGACTTCTTTTAAAGGGGAAGGGAATTTTTTATTTCTAACAGGCTGTTGAAATCTGGATTTCAGATCAGGCTGATTTCCCCCAGAGGTCTTGATTTTTCTCCATAAACTACAGATGGTGTGTAGGACAACAGTTTCTAAATGGGGTGTCACATCTATGTTTAAAAAGCTAGGCAAGATGAATCTGGGTCAGTTCTGGGCTGAGTTTTGTCAGAAATATTGCAATCAAGATTAAAGCTCTGGAGAGTTTACATTCACTTTTCACTGTGTTCTCAATTGCACCCTTTTGGCACAGTCTGACTCACCACTAAACTTTTAAATGTCAGTCCCCAACTTGTTAAATCACATCTCTAACTCTTAAGCAGGGAAACTAATTTATTTTAAATAATTAAGCTTTAAATTTAGTTTTTCCTCCTCCAAAAACTGGAAAGCAGCAGACCGAGAAAGACTAGGTTTGTAACAGTTGATTGTGGCAAGTGCACAGTCTATCTGTGCTGAAGAGTAGCAGTAGTAAAGGTTATTCATCAAACATGCAAGATGAGACCCTATTTGCAGATGAAAATTAGCTAAAGATGTGAGGACAGCTACCTCAGCTATCAGTTACACCATAGGTTTGGGATTGCTGCTTCAGGGGCTGTATCCTCAACTGTCTGGCACACTGATGGAGCTGAATTGAGGCACTGTCTTGCTTGGCACTTGCTGCTGCTTTTTACTTTGTTCTGGGGTCATCTGTCCTGTCTGCCCTGACACGTACTGTCACCTAGTGCCACCAGCACAGGTTATCTTCCTGAAGGGCTCAAGCCCACCAACACAGGGCTCCTGCTCTTCCAGCAGGCCAGGGGAGATTTGGTGGCTCTTCTAAGTGTGTTTGGTCTGTGGCTGAGCTGTCAGCTGTCCTGAACACTGTCTGGGAGGTGTTTGGCCCATCAGATCTTACTTCTGCTCATGGCTTTTGAGGAACCATGTTTCTGGTGCACTCGGGGCTGTATAATCACTACAGCAAGCCTGCAGGCAGAGCTAAACAGAGTCAGACCAGCACCCTGAGTGTGTCCTGTCTGGGCTGTCCTGTTCCACCCAGCCTCTGTAACAGAGCTGTCCTTTCCTCCCCCAGTTCTCTTCTAGTGTCAGCAGGGTCCAGATCTAAAAGAAACAGAGGAGCTTGTTTTCAGCTGTACCCAGATTTGGGCATGCATTGGCTGGACTGGAAATTCTTGTGATCTCACTGAAGCCTTTCACAATTATCTGGTTTTGTGTTTTTCTACCCCCTGCAGTTCTGGTATGCTGTCAGTGTCTACAAATTCTAGCTTTCATTAGAAAGTGCTTAACTATTACCAAACTGTGATGAAACTCTAGAAACCATGACCCAGCTACATATGTTATCTGCCAAACTAGATGATGACAGTTCATAAAATGTTTCTCTCAATATTTAAAAATAAAATGCTGATGATTCTTCATTGAGCATGTGATACAAGAAACAACTTAAGATGCTGAAAGATGTGTTTTTATTCTCAAAGCCACAAGTCTGTCTGGATCCTCTGCCTTAGAGTATAAAAGATTGTACTAGGCATATGAACCGAGGGCAGGCTAGGCTTTTCTAGCTCTGTTGTGCATGTCAGAGCCAATCTCATAGGAAAACATGGCACAGTGTCTCTGTGACTCCTATTTCTCCAGTGGGAGGACTGTGACATAACTGGTAGAAGCAGAGTTAACAGGGAGGGTGGTAAAGCACACATACCAGAAAGACTTGGAGCAGAACTACCCCTATGGAACAGGGATCTTCAAGGAGTCCAGGCTAGTGAAGGCCAAGAATTGCGTGTGTTGTCCTTGGGGCGTACTGGCAAGAATGGATCCTGAACAGATAAGTGTGGGAAGCATATCTGTCCTGGTGTGGAGTAGTTTTCTCCCTCTTTTCCTGCAATATGTTTTTACTGGAAGGCTGTGTCCCTGATGAAAAGGGACAGAGGATGCTGAGGTCTGCCTAGGTTGGAAAGACCCTCTGGTCCCACCTGCACACTGCAATTACTGTTGTCTAGCCAACATTCTGGGCTTGTCCATGGCACATACAGAGAATCTGGGTGAGATCTAAGTGAGGCTGCAGCTGGTGGCTGCACAGTTGACCCCCCAGTGACCTGTGCTGGCTCGGGTGCAGTGCCTGAAGCCATGCAACGTGGACTTGGATAAGGTGCTCTTGCTTGGGACACTTTGCAAGGGAAGCCTTTGGGTCATGCACGCCTGGTCAAGGAGCAGCATCAACTGATATGGGGCTTGGTGTGATGCTGTAGTGGGTTTCAGCATCTTTTGCAAGACCCAGTAAAGGGAAGAGTTTTCCGCATTGTGCAGGACTTCAGCCTGGAGAACAGAAAACACCTGTCAAACTCCATTTTCTGTTGCATATTCATAACTTGTTAGAGCAGGTCCCACTCCGTCACAGTGATGACCTTTGTGTGTTTTACATCTATTGTTCTTTGCTGCATACAGTACTGCCAGCTGCTGTAGTCCCTAATGAGGTTGTAGCTGTAGGAGGTTTTGTTTTAGCCCCAAAAGTAGAAAGACCTGACTGTTGAGCATAAAAGGATGTGTGTTTATTGCTGGCCTTGCTATGTAGCCTGAGTAGCCACAGAAAAGCACTATAGGATGTGTTCTGCCAGGAAGGGTTGCCAAAAAGGTTACGTTTTCCCAAGAAGTGGAAGATGGTTGAACTCACTTCTGTTTACTGAGTAAAGCCTTGTACAAACATCTGCCACATTCTAGCAAAATTTACAGCCTCTGAAATATCTAGCTTGCTGGAGCCTCAGAGGCTTACAGTGCTAAACTCATTGGAACAACTGCTAATGAGTTAATTACAATGGATTCTTTAGTTAAAATTGCTGCCAGAGACTTGAATGTTTCAGATAACTCTCCTGGCAAGTGGGTTACACTGCTGGGCAGATCTTTGCTTGATTTATGACTCTTCCACAATCACATGGAACTACTGCCTGATTGTCCCGGGAATTCAGTTCTGGTTTTGTCTGTTTCATGAAAGTCATCTTTTGTTCTCAAGGGTTTTCATATGTGCTGTAATGATATCATTGCATATTGCATATTGCAATAATGATAAACCATTATCACAAACAGCTATTCTGTGATTCTTGTCTGAAAGGTGCCTTCCTGCATGGCAGCTCTTCCTGTGAAATATAGACAGCTATCCATCACCCATGAAATATCAGGCATTGAAAGACTTCCAAAGAAAAATGAAGCTAGTTCATATTCTCTGAGAGTTATTTGGTGCAAAATAACAAATATTTTGTCCTTTGGCCCGGAACAAAAATTTGTTGTGTAAATTTATAGTTGAATTCCTTTCTTGTTTCAGTATCTGCTATCAAGTATCTACTTGATACTTGAAATGCATATTTAGAAATGATTTGTCTTGGCTTTTTATAGTTGCAGAGATTTGAGTCCAGAAATGTGTTGACTCTGGCTACTTTCTTATAAATAGCAAACATATGATCAAACCTCTTAAAACCACCACAAGCAATTCAGAAGCCAGGTTTCAACCTTATTTTGGCTGCTTTTCCACAGCAAAAATTGCAGCTGTTGGTGTTGAGCCCTTTGGAGACATTCTCAGACTTCCCAGACTCCTTCAGTAAAGCCTCTAGCACCTCTGCCAGGTTTGTTTAAATGCTTTCAGTTAACTTTTTGATGGAGCTCAATGAATATCTTCTTTCCACCTTGGCTCAGCAAGAATAGCATTTCAATTTCTCTCCTGTCCAGTTAGGTGTACCTTTGACCTGAGGATTTAAGCATTAGTCAGGGTCTTACAAGTTTTTTCATTCAAAAAAGGAACTGATACAGAGCCTGCATTTTTTTTTTTTTTCACTACAAATCTGTTATTTCAAACACCTACAAAATTCCATTTCTTTGAATAGAGTAGGAGTGTAGTTTTGGTCATAATCTCACACCCCTTTCCAGGCTACACTATATCTGTAAAAGTTTTCATCTTACTTCCATTTCTATGGGCTTTCATTGTCTTTCTTTCATGTGTGTGTGCACAGGGCACATCTGCAGCCAGCACTACTGAGTTGCTTATAGTGTTCAATCCCTGAGCAAACCTGTCTATCTCATCTTCCTTATGACAGCTTCAGCTGGCTGTGTCTCAGCATAAGTCTGCTATTCATATGCTGAGCTGTTAAAATTCTTCCTGCCTTTGACACTTTGCTGCTGCTTAGAGAAATACTTCAGGTAATGGTGAATCAGGGAGAAGTAAAAACTTGTCTACAGAAGACATTGAACTGTCCCAGTCCCAATGAATTATGTCTTCCTTGTGTGTTTAGTTACGCTTCTTCTACAATAGGCCTTTTATTATGATTTCTGTAACAGGTTTCAGAAAGCCATGTGATACTTGTTTGAAGTGCTTGAAGTGTTTCAATCCAAAAGCTAGACTTAAAAGACTTGTGAGGATAAACTACATAGGTTTTTGAAATTGTTCTATAAATTGATTGTCTCTTAAACAGGCCAAAAAGAAGTGTAAATGTTTGACAGTTGTAGTTAAGTAATTTTTTAATGTAAAAGTTTGCTAGTGTTATCTGAAAATGGCAGATTAGGTAGATTAGATAGAGGAGTAAAAGAAATCCCTCAGAAAAATATCCTAGAATATTTGAAAAAGTTCTCCCCCAACCAGATTTCTGATGTTGCCTTCACATTCCTAGCTGGTTGGCCGAGTAGTTTGCAACTTCTACAAATGCTTGGACATTAAGGAGAAAAAAAACTTTCTCTTTTTCCTGCACACTGTACAGAAGAAAAACAAACAGAGGACAAGTGACGATGACCTCAAGCTGCACAAGGGAAAGTTTAGGTTTTATTAGGAAAGATTTCTTCACAGAAGAAGTTGTCAAACATTGGAATAAGGTTCCCAGGGGTGTGATGCAGAGTCACCATCCCTGGAGCTATGTACAATATGTGTAGATGTGGCACCTGGGGACAGGGTTCTGTGCAAAATTAACAGTAGGACTTGGCAGTGCAAAATTAACAGTTGGACTCAATCATCTGGCAAATCTTTTCCAATCTAAATAGTTCTATGATTCTGTGACCAGTTTTGTATTGTCTTTTGGCACCTGATTGGCGGTGCCCATGTACTGCAGCAGGCAGGGTGTCCCCAGACTGAAGCTGGTGAGCCTTCCCCTCCACTCAGCACTTGTGGGACACATCTGGGGTTCTGGGTTTAGTGCTGGGCTCCCCAGCACAAGAGAGACATGAATGTACTGGAGCAAGTCCAGTGAAAGGCCACAAAGGTTAAAAGACTGGAGCATTTGTCATATAAGGTGGGCCTAAAAGAGCTGGGACTGTACAGGCTGGAGAAGAGAAGAGTCAGGGGATCTTACCCACTGGCATAAATACCTGACTGGGTTGGGATGAGCAAAGTAAAGATGACAGAACCAGACTCTAGTGCCCAGTGACAAGACAAGAGGTAGTTGTCACAATTTGAAACACAGGAAGTTCAACTTAAACATTATCTCAAAGGCTGATCAAACATTGGCACAGGTTGCCCAGAGAGGTTGTGAAATCTCTGTCCTTGGAGCAGATGTTCTCTTGTGCTGCCTTCCTTCCTCGGCGGGTATAGTAAGCTCTGTTTTATTTTGTTACTTTTGCAAAAACGATGCTGCAACCCCTGTGTCGGTACCAGTAAGGATTCACCTGCAGTTGGTGTTTGTGACATTTTGTAGTTCAGTCTAGCCACTGAAATATCTGCACTCATATTGAGCTGACAAGATTGAAAGGTATTTGTTTAGTGAAAAGGTCGTTTTTGGTATCTTTTCACTTATGCCATAAAAATAAAGCCAGTCCCTAACTAGGATGTCTTAGCTCTACCTTTGTGGTTTTTTTTCTGTTTTTCCTGCTTATGTGTTTTTTTTTGTCAAAAGCCAGTTAATGAACTCAAGAGAAATATACACCAGTGGCTTAACTGAAGTGTTCTAATTAATGATTTTGGAAAAAAAGGTGGAACTGCCTAAAATTGTCTCATTACCTATGGAAACTGGCTGGGGTGGATAGTGGCTTAGCTCAGGTGACTTGTACAGAAGGCATAAACCTGAGAGCATGGGAGGAGGGATCCTGAAGGATGGGAACTAGGATGTTACTGGGATCATTCCATAACAGGCCATGTTTCTGGTTCTGGCTCTCAGTTGGTTCAGGACCTGTCACATATAAGGTCATGTCGCTGGTCTGTGTTTGCCATTGGACCCCTGTCCTCAGGTACCCCTATCTATTGTTAAGTTCACCATGGCCCTTGGTCTTTGGAGCTTGCCCCAGAACGTGTGGTATCTGCAGTTTGTTATTTTACCATCAAAAAAGTATTTCAGGCAATTCCATCGTTCCCGTCTCTCTGTTTTGCCACACTCACCTGGCCAGACCGGACTCAGGGTCACAGCGAGCTGTGACTGTGACAATTATCAATGTATTGTAATGTCCTGACAATTATGAAGCAAAATCCATTTTCACATTTGCTAGTAGGTCTTCCGAGCCACTGTTGCTATTTGCTTGACAAACACCAATAAATTAGCAATTTGGCAACTGCTATGTCACCTACATGATCTGTAGTCTCTTATACAATGCCTTGGTGGAAGCAGAAGGAAGTGGCATATTGTTTATCGCAGGAACCACAGTCCCCAATGTTTCATTACTTTAGCTGTGGCTGCTTCTCCACAGTCAGTGATGCACTGTTCATCATCAGCCTAGTGCCTAAGTTGCACTCACTGCTGATTCTACTCTACCATCATCACAAATTATTTTTTTTGTGGTAATATTATGAGGCAGTGTCTGTAGCAGGGGCTATAAAAGTGTTAAGATGGGAAGGAGGAAGCTGATTTATTGCCTTGAGCTCAGGGTTGTACAACAGGACTACAAAGCAAGCCTTGGATTCCTACTGGGGCTGGCTGGCATCTCCCTGTGTCAGGTTTGTAGTGTAAGCTCAAGCTCTGGGGCTTGTTCCCAGTCTCTAGTCTTCTCATGGAAAGAAAGATCAAGTGTGGCAGCCCAACGTGTCACAGTCTCCTCCAGGGCACATGGCGCACCTTCCAGACAGTGCATGGGTGATCCTGGCTGGTGGCCTCACGTGCCTGGCACCTGCAGCTGAGGCCAGCAGGAGGCAGCTGGCATGGGCTGTGTGGCTCCCATCCCCAGCTGCAGCTCCCATCCATCCCCAGCTGCAGCTCCTATCCATCCCCAGCTGCAGCTCCCATCCATCCCCAGCTGCAGCTCCCATTCATCCCCAGCTGCAGCTCCCATCCATCCCCAGCTGCAGCTCCCATCCATCCCCAGCTGCAGCTCCCATCCATCCCCAGCTGCAGCTCCCATCCATCCCCAGCTGCAGCTCTGTACTTTGTGCCCCAGCACAGGGAGAGGGCTAAGCATTTGCAGTTGGGCCACTTGTGTTAGTGTAACACCCTTTCAAAGTCTGCAAGCTTTTAGTCCTAATGTAATATTCAAGCATCTCAAGCCTGCCCCTAGGAAGGGCTCGGTGCCTGCCTTTCCCTGCAGAACCTACAGGTCTGGAAGGGATACAGCACTTATGGAAGCTGGACTGTGTGGGAACAGTTGGTCTTACACTCCCATCACCCTAGTTTAGTATATTGTTCAGTAAATAATCACTGTGAACATAAAAGACTGCCACAATGCTATATGAGAAGATTTTCAAAGGTGAAAATGCTGCCAGTTGAAAGAAAGTGAGCTTTAGCTATGTAGAACTGAATCTGCAACAGGGTTTTTCTTACAGAGAATTATTTTTTCTGTCAGTCTGGTAGTTTGAAATGTTCCAGATTTCATTTCAGGGAAACATTCATTAAGCAGTCATAGCTGGGTATCTGTTAGGTGGTTGGTGAAACAAAGTTTATTAACTGATCCATATCCAGAAATTTTATTAAAATACAAGAATTTTATGTAATATTGTATTGCTCAGATACCAGATAAATCTAGCCCCAAACATTTTAATACAGGGCAAGTATTCAAAAATCATGGTTATTCTTTTAAGTTGAAATTTCCATAAGCATATTCAGCAGCTGCTATAAAAATAATGTGAAAATAGTAATTTGTGATTTTTGGTTAGGAAAAAAAGGAACAATTGATACAACCTCTATCATTTCAGGAATTAGATATTTCTCAAAACTTTTTTTTTTCCGTTTTCAATCTTCTTATACTGGTTTCCTATCATGAAATGAATTATTAGCTTGAGGATATAAGAGGAAGCTGGTAATATCACCTGTGCTGCTGCTGCAAATCAAATGTTCACGAGTAATGGCAAACAGCCCCACTGAAATGCAGGAGGACAAGGGAATTTGCTGGAATGTTGCTTTGCACTTTTATGACCACCAGCTTCCGTACAAAGCTGAGTACTGAATATTGCTAAGTGTCCTTTGTGAAAGTCACTTAAAAGAAATTGCAGAAAGTACAGAATGAAGCATCAACATTTAGAATTTTGAAAACTGTTAGTAAAGGGAATAAGAATGGATCCATCTGCTGGATCAGAGCCTTTACTTGTAAATGGACCCATTCAGCTATTTTCATGAATCCAGAAATGGATCTCAGTTCAAGGATTTCTTATGAAGCCTCTATTAGACATAAGAAGGGCTTTGAAAATTTATTTTTAGACAGTAAAGGACGGAAGTGATCAGCAGAA